ATTTTGCTTCAGGCCCGGCCCGGCCCGCAAAAATTTGCGGGCCGGGCCGGGCTGCGGGACCCAACGCAGGCCTCTAGCTGAGGTTGCCCAAGATTAACTAGAACTAATAATTGTGTTAAGCATGGTAGTCATGGTAATTATGGCACTCACAGTATTAGTAGTAGTATAGGCCATTCTGGCAGTGGTTATAGTCAGTCGCGACTATATCTGATTATTCAAATATACAATTAACTAATATCAAGCTTGAATTTTTACCAAAAAACACAACTTCTTACCTTCAACCAATGGATGTGAATGTTATTAAAAGCTTTAAGTCCAAATATAAGCAAAAATATATTAGACATATATTAACATAATTTGAAAAAAATGAAGATTTAACAAAGTAAAAACACTTAATTGTGCTATACAAAATTAATTAATTAGTTCTTATAACTTGATTGGGTCAGTTTACAATCTTGAGAAATATTTTTTATTTATTATAAAAATTCTTAGATGAGATTTTCAATCTATACTTTTTTTTTATAGTTTACTAAATAACAAAAATTTTTATAAAGATTAAAAGTTAGATTTGCAGTCACTTTTAAAATGCAAATATTATAAGAACCAACCAATTAATTTTGTATGGTCTTATTTAGAGGTGTGAGTGCAATTCCATAATTTGTTATAATTATAATGAATTATGTCAAAAAATGCTGTAATTCATTATAATTACAACAAATTATGACATTGCGCTCATACCTCTAGTCTTATCAATTTAAAAAAAAATTTTATTACTAATTCTAGTTTTACTTTTAATTAGAAAAAAATCAACATTAAGGATGCTATCTATTACATATCTGAGTCTTGAAACTTAGTTGAAGAACAAGTAATTGTTAACTGTTAGAAGAAAACTGGAATTTTGCTATCAGTTTCTTATGAAAAGATAGATGCTGCTATTAGTATTCAAGATGTGTTATTAGGTCAGCAAGAACAAGATATTGATATGTTGATAGTAGATTTGACCTCTCAAGATCTGGATCCAGAAATTGAGCATCAATTAAATATATATTTAGATCTCAACAATTTGCCTATTTTAATTGAAGAAAAGCTTGAAGATTCTGAAATTATCAAAATTGTTTGAATGAAGTGAATCAAGTTAAAAATGGTAATCCTGATGATACAGATGAAGAAGAGCCAGAAATTTCTGCTTTAGAAGGTTTGAAAAGTTTAAATAAGTTTATTAACTTTTTTGAACAACAAATGATATTGATTTCAAAACTGAAGATCTTAAAATTTTTCGTAAGTACTTACTATTAGTGAACTGAAAATATGTTGAATCTAAATAGCAAACATCTATTAGTAATTTTTTTAGAGTGTTAGATAATGAAAAGTATGATATCGCATTATGAAATTTTTTTGACATCTTTTTTTTTTTTGAGGCAATTTTTTGTCTCTTTTTTTTTTTTTTAAGGCAGTTTTTTGCCTTTAAATTTAACTATATATGATTTATATAATTATCACATATATATCATTAATATCAAGTTTGTAATAGCTTTATAACAACTAAAATATATATAAGAGTATTTCTTTTTTGCAATCCATAAAATATTGTGTTTTTGTGACCTCTAGCTAGTTTGAAATAAAAGGGTAAAAGCAGGTAATTTTTTATTGTAAACATTATCGAATTTATATAATTAAGATTGCAACTCCATAAGTAAGTCAAAATAGTGATGCAAAATTGATTCTATAAATTTTTTTGAAATACAATAAGGTAATGATAATAATTAGTTATACATAATTAATTGCAGTATTGTTATTACTTAATTTAGCATAACTCATTGTATAATTTCATTTAACTCTCAATTGTTATTTTTTATGCCAGCTCTTATTGGTAATAATAATTTATTTATTGAAAATTAGACAAGGCATTAAATAGCATAGTTAACAGTTAGGCTTAGGAAATCATAATTATAATAGTAACCCAAATGTTTAATGAAAATATTTAACATATAGCATATATCACTAAACTGAGTATAGGTAGATTGGTACTATAGCATTTATTTATCATTTATAACTACATGACAGAGATTCGTGTTACTAATAATTTCTGTTAAAATTTCTTAATCATTTACAAAATTATCAGAAAAATAACAAATAAAAAAAAAATATATATATATATGACTGAGTTTTGTGAATCCTGTGAATTCTATAATTTTATAGGTAATTACTTTTTATTCATCATATTCTGTGAAATTCATTTAACAATTAGTGATTATTTTCTATTTATTAATAGATTTTCTTTTTATAGACTCTCTTTACTAGTGATATATTATAAATACACAAGTAAAATCAAGCAATTTTTTATTCTTTTCTTAACAACCATCTATTTAAATTCAATTTAAAAAAAATTGCTTGATTTTACTTGCATATTTATGATATATTACTAGTAAAGAGAGTCTGTAAAAAGAAAATCTATTAATAAATAGGAAATAATCACTAATTGTTAAATGAATTTTACAAAATAAAATGAATAAAAGGTAATTACCTATAAAATCGTGGAATTCATTAGATTTACAGGATTCAGAAAAATGTCTGCAAAATTGGTCTATTCAACTAAATTAAAAAAAAGTTATAATAATGAGACGGTGAATAAGAATATTATCTGCTCAACCTAGTATGTATATTTAGAATACTAATTAATGAATATAGTATATTAAGCAGAATGAACTAATAATATTTCTAGAATATATCTTTATCTAAATACTTTCAAACTGTATTTGAATGTTACTAAAAGAAAATATGCATATTTATATAAATATGCATATTTTTTTTTAGCAATGCTCATTTATAAAACAATATACCATTTTAGTAGATTTGAGATTTTTTGATTTAAATTCTAGATCTTTAAAAATTGAAAGTTTTCTAGTAATGGTAATAGTGCTTAAATTTGTGTTAATTTATGGTTCATAAATTAACTTAAAGAGTATTCTTAAATCATTTGATCATATTAAAGTTAGATTTGAGCTATTTTGAGTTGGATTTGAGTTATTCAAGTCACAAAATTAATTTTAATTTGTAAATACTATATTAATATGTTTTATTTTACTATTGGCAAAGACAAACTTATTTTTAAATTTTAAAAATTACATAATTCAAACTATAGTGTTATCAGATGATATGGTAAGTCAGTTGCTTTACAATCCAAATTCTCATGTAACCTACAGTTGGCTTAGTCGAAAAGAAGTGTTTAGATTTGGTCAGTAGTTTAGATCCATAAGTAAGTATTCTTCTTTCTTGTCTTGTGTTTTCTTATCTTGAACTGTTGCTAACTTTATTCTCAATTACCTCACTACTTTAAGTAATAAGACACAATGTATAATCTCACTATCTTCTGTCTTTCAAGATAATGGAATGATACAACCATGGCTGATTCTGGTACTTTAGAATACAACAGCTGGATAGAAAAGTAATAACACTTTTGGGTTAGAACATGGGTAATTACAAGAAGTGGGTTTTATAGTTTTGGGATTTAGTGATTAGTTAATGTAGCAAGGAAAACATTTATTTATTTATTATTAGGTAAGAGGCCAGTTATTATTTTAATAAAGTAAAAGTCTCAAGGGTCTCTCCTCTTTTCTTAGGGCCTTTATGGCCTTTATTTATATTATAATTCTTTATTTACATTTGGTATACTATGTATACTATGTTTTCTATATATACTACATATACTACAACTGCTACTTCATCCCCAACTTATACTTATCTGACATGGCCTTCATGTCCTATGTAGCCTATGTAGCCTTCATAGCCTATGTAGCCAAAGTAGCTTGAGTGGACTGGGTTACTCTAATTTGGAATAGCTGTAGTCACATAGTATATAACTTCCCCAGATAACAATAGCAAATTTGAGTTATTTGAATTATGAATTGAGGAGTTCAATGACTATTTGTAATAATAATTTAGCAATATTGTACTTTATTTATTATATATTTATTTTTTACTTCTATTTAATCATGTTATATATTTTTTAATATAATTTGTGCTTAT